AATGAAGTGATTGGTTGTACCAAACACACAGCAATGAAGTGATTGGTTGCACTAAACACACAAGCAATAAATTGATTGGTTGCACCAAACACACAGCAATGAAGTGATTGGTTGCACTAAACACACAGCAATGAAAGTGATTGGTTGCACCAAACACACAGCAACTAATTGATTGGTTGTACCAAACACACAGCAATGAAGTGATTGGTTGCACCAAACACACAGTAATGAAAGTGATTGGTTGCACTAAACACACAGCAATAAATTGATTGGTTGCACCAAACACACAGCAATGAAGTGATTGGTTGCACTAAACACACAGCAATGAAGTGATTGGTTGCACCAAACACACAGCAATGAAGTGATTGGTTGCACCAAACACACAGCAATGAAGTGATTGGTTGCACCAAACACACAGCAATAAATTGATTGGTTGCACCAAACACACAGCAATGAAGTGATTGGTTGCACTAAACACACAGCAATGAAGTGATTGATTGCACCAAACACACAGCAACTAATTGATTGGTTGCACCAAACACACAGCAACTAGTTGATTGGTTGCACCAAACACACAGCAATGAAGTGATTGGTTGCACCAATCACACAGCAATGAAGTGATTGGTTGTAACAAACACACAGCAATGAAATGATTGGTTGTACCAAACACACAGCAATGAAGTGATTGGTTGTACCAAACACACAGCAATGAAGTGATTGGTTGTACCAAACACACAGTAATGAAATGATTGGTTGTACCAAACACACAGCAATGAAATGATTGGTTGTACCAAACACACAGCAACTAATTGATTGGTTGTACCAAACACACAGCAATGAAGTGATTGGTTGTACCAAACACACAGCAATTAAGTGATTGGTTGTACCAAACACACAGTAATGAAATGATTGGTTGTACCAAACACACAGCAATGAAATGATTGGTTGTACCAAACACACAGCAATGAAGTGATTGGTTGTACCAAACACACAGCAATGAAGTGATTGGTTGTACCAAACACACATTAATGAAATGATTGGTTGTACCAAACACACAGCAATGAAATGATTGGTTGTACCAAACACACAGCAATTAAGTGATTGGTTGTACCAAACACAGCAATGAAGTGATTGGTTGTACCAAATTAACACACAGCAATGAAATGATTGGTTGTAGCAAACACACAGCAATGAAGTGATTGGTTGTACCAAACACAGCAATGAAGTGATTGGTTGCATCAAACACACAGCAATGAAGTGATTGGTTGTACCAAACACAGCAATGAAACGATTGGTTGCACCAAACAGAGCAATGAAGTGACTGGTTGCAAAGTATTTCAGCTGCTATACTAATATATTTATCTGGAACTGCATTCTATTTATGTTGTGGATTGGTGAATAGAACAAGATTTTAAAATAATAATTTAACAATATCACATTGCTTAGTTACAAAATAATTAATTTCTAACCTTGAAATAGGTATTACATGTATATATGTCACCAATTTTAGTGTTAACTATCTTATAGATGGCTTTCTATCACCTGCTCCATGCTATGGTGGGATACGGGGGGGTATTTCCAATGACTTGAAGAGAATTGGTAATGTCAAACCAATATTAGTACAGTTAGGGAGTCAGGTAAGATTTTTTATGTGATGAGGGGTACTAATGGATAGCAGTGCATGTCAGGGTTTGTTAGATTTCCTGTTTGTTATTGTTGTTTGTTTCAAGTATGTGTCTATATCTTTGTCTTTCGTATTTCTGTTCAGACATCCATTTGCTTATTTCATCCTGGTATCTAGTTGATAATGTATACCGAGTTTATATATATTAAGTTACTGTATTTGCTCTATTAGTTGCACATGTAAATAACGTAAATAACAAATGTGTTTCTATGATCAAAATATATAATATTTTGGCGATCCAGTACAGTAAATGGTATTTTTGGTTTACACTGACTTCTAATAGAGCAAATACAGTATTAATATGATATTAACAATATATTCTAAATAATAATCATTTAGGCTTAATTTGTTGATTTCAGGTGAATTTTGATGCCGGTGAAAAACAACCATTTCAACTGACTGTGGATAAATTTGAAAAGGCTTTACAGAAGGCTACAGATGAGGTAAACTATCTATTTACTTATTCTTAATATCTCAAGAACTGCAATGCTTATATGATGGTATGCACAGTGTTCACATTTTGATGTATTGACAATACATTAAATCACAGTCCCTCCACACTCAGTTAGGAAATGCTCAGAGTTCTATTGTCACAATGTGTGTTTCGCGTTCGTAAAATTGGTTTACCGGTAATCCCCACACTGTAACACTAACATCAAATTAGCATATAGTATGACATCATTTTCACCCAGAATGCAATTCATTTCTGCGCAGGCGTACTTTATTTTCGTGTTTCATTGCTGTGAAAATTTCAACTTTCTGACTTCTGGGCATTTTATATTAACGAAATGCGGGAAAAACACAAAGATTTTTTGCGACAGTGATATTGATTGGGATGACATGATGGAAAAAGGATCCCAGTATTTAGATGCAGGATATGTGCATCGTCATCACCACTGTCGTCTGTGGCTTCAAGTTGGCACCTGACCACAAACAAGACGAAAAAAACGAATGAAAAAATAAGAGAACAGGAATGGAAATAATATTTGCCATTTTTTGGGGGATATCTAACCTCCAAATTGATGATAGTTTAAGCCGAAATGTGCATATACTAAGGTCGATCAATCAGAACTCTCAGCATAATGGCGACAATAGTAGGTATCGCCATCTTGAAAACAAAAATTCTCCCGAGCACATGTACAGAGTAATGTGACATATTGTTATTAAATATGATTAGAATGGGTCATATGACTACATAAACAGTTTAGTTATCTAAAAGCTACAATTAATTCCATCTTTTAAGTTTTGGTAGTTCCTATTTCTCACAGAATAACATTTTCTGTTAGCGACACCAAACAGAAATATTGATTCACACACAACACCTACGACAAAATCAAATGGGAAAATGAATGACTGAAATGAATACTTTCCCAGCACTTGTGCACAAAGTAAAAAATATTGTTCAAAAATTAAAGTATCAAATCACAAATTGATAACGACTGGGATTGTTTTGGGGGTGGTAACGTGATTCACCAGTGTTGAAACTTTCGTGGTATTATTGCTGGAACGCATACAGTAATAATGAATGAACATCGCTTTTTTTTCGTTATTTATAATGAATATGGGTTTTAAACTACATGTGCCTTTTCCCAAAACCGATATGATCACAGAGATTTGTAACTTTAAATAAAATTTACCGACTTTGCTCAAAAACACGCAATATTTGTAGATGTAACACTGAACGGATGTGCTTCGAACAAGCTCCAAGATAATGCTATGACGTCACCGCGCTCTCCCCGCAAGCGAAAAACGCACTGTACACGGGACTCAGGTGATTCACACCTTAGGACAATAGCATTTCTTAACCGGGTGTTGAGGGACTGTGATTAAATGTCCGTCCAAAGTGATTTGAAGATGCATAACATCTCAATGCAATTTGTCACAGAGTCCACTATGTAGTTGCAATTGAATTTCAGTCCCATAAAATTTATCTACCTAATTTATATATGGGATTTATTTTATTATAATTATTACTGTAATCAAGTTAGTCCTGTGTGGATTGTCTTTCAACTGACAGCTTATTCAATAATTTAGGAATTGTGCATAGTCGATTTTTCTCACAAAGTGTATTTCTTTGCTTTCACCAGTCTTCTAGTGCTTCGTCTTGAATGTTTAATTTCTTCAGCCTATTGTGTTTTGTCTTGTTATTCAAATCTTCCTGAATAGCGATAATTGGTTTTGTCAATCGCAGTACAATTGACAGATCAATACTGGCATGTAATTCTATAGTTTTTTAGTGTCCTAAGTTATACTTATTTTTTAGTAACACCTTTACAAAAAGTAATGTGTATTTTTTATTTTTTTATTAAGGGTATAAATGTCCGAGGGTTGATTTTGATTAATCCTAATAACCCATTGGGGGAAATCTACTCACGTGAATTATTGATGGAACTACTAAATTTTGCTCACAGGTAGGATTGACCTTTACCTTGCCTGTATTATTAGATTAAATAAAAGGTGTATGAGGAGTAAATGTCTGTCATCATCGTTGTTGTCTCTGTTATAAACTCTGTTTCTGTGGTATTATTTATTTGTTCATTTTGAAAGATATTGGTGAAAATGTTACTTAAAATTGTCTTCTTTTTGTGGCTACAATATTAAATCAAACAATTTGTATGTTATTATCTTCAAACTTTATAATCATATACCGTACTCGACCGCGTTAGTGCTTAGGGTCCTCAACTTATAAAATCAGGATTTTTTAGGGGTGAGCGCTTACCCGAGCACCCCCCTTGGAAAAGAGTGCAACTGATAATTTTAATTCACCGTGTGACAGATTGAGGGGGATATTACGTCTTTGAAAGTTTCAGGGAAAATAAAATTACAAAATTAGGTGCGTCATCATTGACTCTTACAATGAAGAAACGGAAAATGTCAAATATGCACATTTTATTACAATATTAATTACGTACCACCCAAATTTATGAGATTAAAAATATTTGAGTCTGTTGGAATACAGTCAAAGTCAAAATCTTCATCATTATTGCCACTAACGAATGTGTCGGATCATACGCAAACTCTCGATAAAAAGCACTTTCCACCATGATGTATTTGCATTTGACCTGCATCAACGTCCTTTGACCTAATGGGTCAAGTCTGTTATTATCCAATCAAAATGCTGTGTGGTACCGACGCAATTCTTCAAAAATTCCCAAAAACTCTCGGGTAACACAATGCGGAAGTGAATTATTGATGTTGAAGTATGATCTGTTGGAATTGATTTCAGCGAATAAATGACCTGTTGTTTTTTTAAATGGTAACTAGCAATTGTTATCGCTAAACTGAATACGGCATGAAATATTTGCTGCATTTTACTTTTATTAACAGGTCATTGTTGAAGCGTAGTTTACGCACAGTTACCGTGGTCTACGCATTCACAACACGGCAGTCAATAGCCACGTTGTATCATGATATAAAAAACGATTACCAGTATTCGTTAAGTAATGATCAAAGACCAAGTTTAAAATTAGTGGCATTTTGAAGGGGTTGGCGCTTTGCCGAATGTGACCCAGAATATAAAAATTGCGCAAAAGTGGGGGGTGGACGCTTGACCGGCCGCTAACGCGGTCGAGTACAGTAAATTAAAATGCGGCTAAAATAAAGCATTTGTTAGACAAAGAAATAAGTGCACAGAATGAAAACATTGATATTTATTCATCAGTAATTTACTGTTAATTAAGATCTGTTACTCAGAAAGTTCAGTAAGATGATATGTCAGCTTGTTATGTTAAGACTAACCCAAAATAGAAGCCACTGAATTTATAACCAACTTTCCATAACAATAGGATGGTTTCTACTATTTGCATCAACTCAAAGTACAATAGAATGAAATAATACTGGACATTTTTTTGTTACTCTAGACATTCCCTACATGTTGTGGTAGATGAAATCTACATGGGTACTATATTCAAATCAGATGCAGTACATACCAGTATTGTAAATATTGATAATCTTCCTGATCCACAGAGAACTCACATGTTATGGGGAGTCAGTAAGGTGAGTTAATGGGGAGTCAGTTAGGTGAGTTAATTGGGAGTCAGTAAGGTGAGTTAATGGGGAGTCAGTAAGGTGAGTTAATGGGGAGTCAGTAAGGTGAGTTAATGGGGAGTCAGTAAGGTGAGTTAATGGGGAGTCAGTAAGGTGAGTTAATGGGGAGTCAGTAAGGTGAGTTAATGGGGAGTCAGTAAGGTGAGTTAATGGGGAGTCAGTAAGGTGAGTTAATGGGGAGTCAGTAAGGTGAGTTAATGGGGAGTCAGTAAGGTGAGTTAATGGGGAGTCAGTAAGGTGAGTTAATGGGGAATCAGTAAGGTGAGTTAATGGGGAGTCAGTAAGGTGAGTTAATGTATGCTATTTTGGGGTTCTTATTATATATAATAATAATAATAGTTTCATTTATTACACCATACTGAAAGTTAACAAGTCATTTTAGGCTGTTACGTAATAAATTTTAAAAAACAGTAACAAAAACAGAAGTTAAAGAAATATATGTTATATATATATGTTTTTGACGCATGCTGTATTGCTTCCTCATCAATGTGTTCAAAAGTGGTAATCTGTGTCAGGGGTTTCGTTAAGAGCGGCCGGCCATATGGCCGGCTACAAGCCCAAATTGGTTGCCTACTTTCTGGTTTCTCAACAACCATCCCCTTTCGCACTGCCAAGAGCCTTGTTATGTATTTTTTGGCCTGTTGTTACAGGATGTTGGCCTGCTATTAAATGCATTTGTGAAACCCCTGATGTGGTCAATGTATCTTTCAACAAAACGATAAATACTGAATGGGGAATAATATTAAATGCTGGTAGACATTCTAGGGGAACTTTGGCTTTTGCAGTCTTTTATTTTGATTCATGTTTTTCAGGATTTTGGAATGGCTGGATTTCGTTGCGGTGTATGTCATAGTTTTAATCAACATTTACACCAAGCTCTTGAATATCTGGGTTATTTTTATGCGATTCCTGCTAATGTGCAACATCAATTGACTGAATTCTTGTCAGACAAAGGTAAAGTTGAATCATTATTTCTATAAAATGTATCCTATCATTGATACCACCAGCTCTTTTACAGTAGATGTCAATGATCATGTAAACTATTTCACTTGCAACAATAAAATTTAAGAACATTTCCAGTTGTGTTTGTTCACAATGGGCACTTCTTGTATATGCAATGAAGGGCATATGTTACCATAACAACTGTAGCAATTCAGATTTTGTTGGTATTTTTATTTACAGAGTGGTTGAACAATGTGTTTTTTCCAACTAATCATCAGAGACTTAGGGAGACTTATCAGTGCATGTCTGATGGTTTAACCAAGTTGGGTATTGCACATTTACATCGATCAGCTGGGCTCTTCATATGGGCAGATTTTAGACTGGTAAGTTGATTGTTACAATGTATATCTATACAATAGTGTTTAATTTTAATTCTTACCGGTCACTGGTAGCATATTGACAACAGTGACATTCAATGTTCGGAACTGTCGCCTAGCACAAAAACATTTAAAAAAAAAAAAAAATGTTAATTCTAAGTCTTATGCATAGTTAATAAATGTTT